AAAAAGGGGAATTCGGGGGGTGTTTTGGGGATATAAACTTTCGCGTTGAGGGTCTGAGAGGTCCTGGGCTTGAAAGCTGGGTCTGAAGCGCCCATCCTAGGAAGCCACTACCGAATCCAAGATATCGGTTTAGGGTTTAGGGTTTAGGGTTTCTTTAAGGGTTCTAGGGAGAAAGGGGTTTAGGGTTTAGGGTTCCCAGAGACTCCAATATCCCTCCCTTAATTAAGGAAGATTCCTTAAATTATCGTAGGATCCTTGATACGGTTTAAGGTACTGTATATTCCTTAACTAAGGGATATTGGAGTCTCTGGGCTCTTATCGAAAAAGGGGAATTCGGGGGGTGTTTTTTTGGATATAAACTTTCGCGTTGAGGGTCTGAGAGGTCCTGGGCTTGAAAGCTGGGTCTGAAGCGCCCATCCTAGGAAGCCACTACCGAATTCAAGATATCGGTTTAGGGTTTAGGGTTTAGGAGTTGGCAGGCGGCAACACCGAGCGGGAAGCACAAACCACCAACGCGGCAGTGAAGGCCTTTTCATGCCGCAGCATTCCTTTCTGGGTTGCAGGGTTGTTGCAATACCACAAGAACTTGTCACCGCCGCAAGCTATGCTCGTACCACCCAATCTCATTAACTGACCCTTCACAGAACATAAACTGCCACGGCGCGGCCCAACCGTTTTCCTACATTCTGAGGACTTCAACCTCTGAACTCGAAAAGCCTCAACATTCCCAGGGACTCCAATATCCCTTAATTAAGGAATATTCCTTAAATTATAGTAGGATCCTTAAGATGATTTAAGGTATGTTCCTTAAATAAGGAATATTGGAGTCTCTGGGTTGGCAGCTCAAAACCGCGTCGGGCGGTAGGGCACGAGCAGTCGGGACTGTCCGCAGCTAAACCGCGCAAGGTGTCCAGGAGTGACTGGCCAGCGCTTGTGGTGGACAGAATAGAGTTCACTAGAGACCTATAATGTAACAGCATGCTAAAGCGCGCGACCGATTGTCGCAGCATATCAGCACATGTTACAGCCACTGATAAGGAGGAGGATGCGGACGATGAACAAGTGCAACAGGAATACTATATGGGCCATAGAATTAGAACAGGGTTGTGGGGCCTATTATACTATGCTTATAATAAGGAACCCCGCGAATAGCATTGGCAATTGTGTAGGCCCCTACATGAGCAACATCCTCTTGTGTAGTAGTAAACCCTAAACCCTAAACCCTAAACCCTAGCCACGGAGGTCCCGTCAGGCGAGCATCTTGGAGAAAAGAGCTTCGGACATTCTTTGAACTCTAGGCTCTATGCTAGTTCCTTTCCTGGTGGTTTCTACGTAGGATCCTTTTAAAGCTTTTTATAAAGGCCCTCTTAGTTATTGGGGGTCCTATAAGGCTTTTATATAAATAAGAGGGATCCTACAAGGTAATCCGCGAAGCTATGGGTAGGGTCAGAGGCTTTAGGGCTTTGAGCTACAAGCCGGCCATGGCAGATCCCTGGCACTGCCTCTTTGGGGTTTAGAGTTCAGGGGTTTAGGGTTTAGGGTTTAGGGTTTAAGGTTTAGGGTTTAGGGGTTCGTAAAAGTGAAAATGCTGGTAAGAATACAGAGAGATGCAAGGTGGAGGTTCATAATGCTCAAACGTCCATGTGCATGCTTCTGAGCATCAAATGGGGCCAGGTAGTGTTTATCAAACGAAAGCTGCTGTACCATGACCATAAAAAAAAAAGAGTTCCAC